TCTCTCTGAGTGGGGTAAATGTCAAGATGTTCTGGCCATTGAATTGGTTTCATATCATCTACACATGGACACTTTTGTCACAATTTAGGTGAACTTTCCTGTTTGTCATTTCTATTTCTGGTCTTCTGTTTGTGTGAAATGCCCCTTTATTTCCCTTGCTTTTTTCTGTACAGATATTTCTTTCGCTGTTGGTGTATAGAAACTCTTCATACAGTGATATTGTTTTCCAAATCTGATATCTTTTTAAATTTTTTCATTTAAGTTGTAACAACCTTTACAAAGTAAAACCTATTTTTAATTCTCTGAATAATAACCTTACCCAAATATTCTATGATTATCTTATGATACAATCTTGAAAACCCTTTCCAAAGTTTCTGCATTCTTTTATTACTACGCATGAGTCTTCCCCTTGTAACACCCTGAGTAACCTCTGTCCAAAACTCTGCACATGGTACTGAGGACTGGAAAACCTCCTATATGGGCACCAGCACCCACAGCCCTGAACAGGCCCAGGACAGCTTAGCAGAGGTGCAGCTGCTTCTACAAAGGCTATAGGAATAGCAGTGACTTCAGACACAGTCTCTGTCCACCTGAGACCTCTCCAACTAAGGCTGCTCAGCTCCAGGAAGACTGGCTGCAGTGTTAGTGTCCTTGGAGTGGTACTGAGTTGGGAGCTGGAGGTAAAACAAGTGAGGTCAGGGGCAAGGACTCCAGACCCCCAGGCTCCCAGCTCTCACTGCCATTGGTGTTTTCAGTCCCAGTGTAGGACATGGTGGATCCAGCACCTGAGAGGTCTCCTGGCCGGAGAGGGGGGAAAAAGAATGGAGATTTGGTGACAGTTCTAGCAGCTGAGTGGATATGGCATGAAAGACACCCAATACAGAGGAAAACCTAGTGGAATTCATTTCTTGGTGGAGACTGAAAGAGAAATTTAATCTGTTTCTTCCCAAGTCATCCACTGTTTATTGAATAATCACTTCCCATAGATAACATCCTGGGTTCTAAAAGACTACGTTTATTGTATAAAGCACACATCCATATTCATTGATAAACACTCTGTGGGCTTACTATTTCCTCCTCTGTGTCTGTCTTTCTGCTCTTACATCAGTGGTGTCCTACTGCAGGCAGCTTCATTTCATTACTAACATCAAGCATCTTTCTGAACTGTCCTGATACCATCTTCCTTTCTAAACGATTCCTCAAAGCACCACACTGAGATTTGTCTGTGCATTTCACTCACAGCAACAAGATAATAATGCAGCAATGTGCTAGTTCCCTTGTCCTCCAGTTTCACCTTTGATGAACTGTGTGTTCTGGCAGCCATCAGGGAGGCCTTTATCAGTGCAGGGGTGTAGCACAGTGGTGGAATGCTTATCTCCCATGCCTGAAGCCCTGGATTTGATACTCACAACCATAAAAAGTTTGAAATTGAAAAATCACAAAGGCCTTTACCATCTGCAAAATGAAATCCTGAGCCTTGTGGTCTGTGTTTCAAGATGACACTCAGCTGTCTTCCCAGTCACATCTCCAGCTAACGTAGTTTCAGGAAGCCTCCAAATAAATTTTCTTTGTCTTTGTATGTTTGTCCATGTTGCATTGATTTTACAACCTTTCTTTTCTTCTTTCATTTCTGTCCTTTGTATTCTATGTATTCTGTAAAACACCCCAGAGCTCACCTAATCCCTGAGGTTTCCTAAACTCCCTATATAATAAGAAAGCACATGGTCATTGTGGCTCTGGATTCTTGACACACATTTAGTTTTGTTCATGGTCTTCTCAGTGATGGTGTTGTTCTGGTTGCCTGGCTGGGTCATCAGCTGGAAGAAACTACATTCAGAACCACTTTCTAGGACACTTCAGGAAGCCCTGTGTGTGACCATCAGTCCAGGATGACAGTCTCAATGCATTCACTCTGCACCCTGACTTTCCATACATTATAGACTTTCCTTGGCAGCCTCCTGGTCCTGGCCACCTTCATAGGTGCCTGCAATGCTGAATGCTATTTCCTACCTGTGGAGAAAAGTCTAGATGGTTCACCTACTCTTAAGTTCAGGTTTTCACATTTCTTATGTACTGCAGCCTGAGGGAGAGCAACTTTTTGCAGGTGAAAAACTTAAAATTGACAGGGGAAGGAAAGAGAGGGCAGATATAGAAACAAAGTCAAATGAGAGTCTTCTGGTACCATCTGAGACCCAACAACTCAGAATATTTGGGGTCAGAGCTATACATTCAGTGGCTCCTTGACTGACTCCCAGCTCTATTCAGGGTTGAGAAACATTGCTTAGTCCATAAAGGTATTCAGACTTTGAAGTGCTTTCCAAGCCCAGGGGAGTTGTGTTAACCCACAGGTGCTGATTCAGGGGATCTGAATGAAGTGTAGAGGTGAGTGTCCAGGGCAGCTAAAGTGATACTGACAGGGAGTCCAGACAGCACATGGGGGCCCCAGAGTCTCAGCAAAGGTTCTCATCCTTAGTTGAACACTTGAGTCACTTGAGGAGTGTTCTGAAAACATGGTTTCATGGGCCCATGCCAGAGATACTGATTCTAGTGTCCTGGGCTGGGGTTCACCATACATTTTGTTTGTTTGTTCTGCTTTTTTTGTATGTTTTCTTGTTCTGCTGTTGTGGGTTGAGCTCAGAGCCTCCTGTGTAATGACCATGAGATCTTGTTCTCAGCTGCACTTGTCCACTAAACATTTTTTTAAAACGCCCCAAGATGTTCAAAAGCACTCCCAGAATTGAGAACTTCTGATGATAAT